TATTTACTATTTCTACTTCTTTGAGAAATGTCTGTTCATTTCAGATGCCCATTTTTGGATTGGGTCTTTAAATCTGGGAGGTCTGATTTTTTAAAGTTCTTTATAGATTCTAGATAGTAGTCCTTTGTCTGAGGAACAGCTGGTAAAAATTTTTTCCCATGTTGTGTGTTGTCTCTTCATGCTTTTGGTGGTTTCTTTTGTGGCACATAATTTTTTTTGGTAAATTAGAAGAAAATATGTCAAAAGTCATCTTAATTTAGTTGAAGTCAAATCTGGTTTACCATTAAAACCAGTCAACCTGCTAAATGAAGTTCTCTGAGAAAGTGGTCACAAATATTGGACTTAGATTTGAGCGAGCTTTGGGATCAATGTGATAGGGTCTTTGCTCTCATACCCTTGATATATCCTTGGGAAGTGCTCCTTAGGAATCAGAGGGGAGCCATGTCAAGGGAAAGAGAGAAAGGACGGGCAAACGGTTTTTGAGGATGTGCAGCGTCTCATCTACGGTGCACACTCCAAGCCATGAACACTAACAACTTTGCTATGATTTATTTCAAATTCATAGGAACCTGGTGTGTTCAGGGTGGACAGAGGTTGTAACTCATCGGTTGCACTGTAGTTACACATCAGCACCTGGGGAGCATCATTATTGGAATCCAGATCGCTTGAAGCTTGAATTCAACCCAGCAAAAGACTTAACCCCTCCCTCCGTCTAAGCCTCCTCATCCAGAAATGGGGATAAGAGTAGTTTGCCTGGAACTCTGACTCCAAAGACCATAAATAAATAGCCAAATATTTAGCTCTCACTTGTTGTCCTTTGATATGAAACTTGAAAGCAGGGTTTGGGGTTCAGAAGCTTCTAAGTCAAATTTGAGCTCCTAATCACAGGCACTGTGGGGATTCTTGCTGCTGGTCAATTGAGTCTGGGCTGACAAAGAAAGAGGAACAGTAAATGAATAGAGTGCAGGCCTGAGACGCCAGCCAGTCACGAGGAGAGTCACAGCAGTAGCCAGAAATGGTCCTCTAGCCACAAAAATGGTTTCTGACCGATGGAGTGCAAGTAGGCAGGGGACAAACGTGCCCTCTGGACCAGGTTTAGGGTGTATCAAGCAAGCCTGGGAGCCAGGAGTTCTTTTTTTGTCATTTGTTCCCCAAATCTCTGTTGAATACTATGGGTCCCATGCACCAAATACCCTTGCAGGTACTGGAGACACAGTGGGAAGGACGCAGCTTCCTCCTCACTTGGGCAGGCATCTATCTGAGTGGCATTTTCCAGGGTTTAACCCTCATTTGCTTGCTGGGCCCTCAGCTGGAGACTCATCTCCTGTGTGTGGTGGGCAGTAAATGGAGGGGGAAATCCAGCCCGGGAAAATTTTTAAGGCATGAAAATGGTTAATTTGTAGGGAGCTAAGGAAGGGATCTGGTAGTTCTTGGATCCCAAGCACAGCCACCAACTTCAGTGGGAGGATGACAAGTTGCTAATAGGAGGAAATTAGTGGGTGACCTTGCTGTGATTGTTGCATGGCAAATCAGACCAAAACTTTATGGTATGAAACAATGACTACTTTACTTGGTTAAAATTTTTGGATAAAACATGTTTGGATAAAAAATTCAAGAATGGCTCAGGTGGTTAATTTTTGTTTTGTGCACTATCAGTCAGACGCCAACCGCAGCTATGGCCACCTGAACTCTTGTCTGGGCTGACAGTTCCAAAAGGGTCCCTTGGACGTGTGGCAGTTGATGCTGGACGGAGCTGGGACTCCTTATGCGGTGTCCACACCAGGGCCCGCACTGACCTTTGTAGCAGGATGGTCCCAGGATAGTCAGGCTTCCTATGTCGTAGCTGGTTTCCCCCAGACAGAGGACCCCAAGGACACCTGGTAGGACCTGCCTGATTTTTTTGTGATTCAGCCTTACAAGTCATAAGCATCATTTCTACCACATTCTATTCTCTAAAGCAGTTACAGTCGTCCCAGATCAAGCAGAGGGGATGCAGACCCCGTCTCTCAATGAAAAGATGGCAAAGATTTTTGAGGCCTATTTAAAAACCACCCCAGTGTGGTTTTCACTACCATCTTCATGTTCTTTCAGTTTTGTCCATCTACTGCTGAAGTCCTGGTGTAACTTCGTATTTCCTGTGTTCTAAAAGACTGCCACTTTGGCTACTTTTCCAATATTTTCAAGCTTTGAAGAGGGTGGCTCCTCCTATACCCTTCATGGAAGTAGAATGTCTAGAAATAATTAATCCAATAAAAGTGTCTTGTCAAAAGATATCAGTTTATCTGTCATATTGAATTATTATTTCATTCCATGAAATTAAAATGAAATATAATTTTGAACACATTATGCAGGTGATTTATACTGCCAAAAACATTGCCAAAGTGAAATCAGTATCATCATTATCAGTAGCACTGTTATTATCCCTTTGATTATCACCCAGATCTAATTCTCCCTTCTTTGAAAGCACTCCACCCAAAGCACAAACATCTTTGTTTGTTTGATCAACAGCTCAGTCAAATGAACAACACTTCAGCAAGGCCTTTAGATCCGAAAGTCTGACACTCCCCGTGTAGAAAGATAACCTCCTCAGCTACTTCTAATTGCAACATGTCAGGTTCAGTTTGCCTTTATTTCTTAGCTTTGTGTTTCCTTGGCTGTGTCTGACTTCACTTCAGTATTTAAAAGAGGTAGGGAGGAGGTGCAAATGTCTGACTCCAGAGCCCATGTGCTTTGCCACCACAGCTTTCTGTCCCTCATTATTTTACTGCATTTCCCTTTCAGATCCAGCTGTCCTCCGATGATAGGATTTTCTTCTCTATGCCAAGAAGCCTCCTCCCTAGGCACTCCTGGCTGTTGGATCCCATGAATTCCTCTTAATCATTTTAAGTGAGTTACCATAGGACACTGTCTCGGCTCCTGCCCTGCACACAAAAGCCATTTTTCAGGCCCAGAACCTCAGCCACTACCCAAAAAATGATATCACACGTACAATGTCTGGACATCTCTCTCCTGTCAGGATAATATGGAATTGATATCCAAAGCTAGATCCCATAGACGTCCCACCAACTATGGAACAGAAGCTATTATTCCAGCTCATGATAATTGGATTACTTGTCAGTCAGCTTGTCATAAACTATCAGCATCTCAAGATTGGGAACCATGTTTTATAGATTTCTGAATACTCTTTCAACAAATTTTTGAAATTTGTGCTCAATTTCTCTTGTTGAAGGAAGGAAGGAAGGAAGAAAGGAAGGAAGAAGGAAAGATTGCAGGCAACTAGTCTTCAAATTCCCAAGGGTCAAGGCCAACTATGTAAACAAAAGGAGCTTTCCTGAATCCCTTTCATTGGAAAAAATGTTGAATTCCCTCCCAAGGGCTAGAGAATTTGAAGAGCTCTTCCTTGCACTGTAACCAGGGACCATCGCTACTCTGTGGATCCCTTCTCTTTTTTCCTGACCGCAAGTCAAATAGGAAGAGACAAAATTGAGGGGCTGATTAACAATAGAATTGAGCAAGGTCATCCCTGTTCAAAGACTTTTTTGCTTCCCTGAAGCATGTAAGTTGCCTAAACTGCAGGCCTAGGGTCAAAAGGCAAGAGTATCGAAAAGATGGTAAAGGGTAAAGGAACACACACATACACACGTACACACCAAGCGCAGTGGTTTACTTTTTTATTTCTTACAAGGGTCATTGAGCTAAGATATGCTCCCAAGAAAAAACAGTAGTGCTGTCAGTACCCTCCCATCTGCCTTCCCCAGGTAACCTTAGGTTCTTTGCCTCCAGTCTATATACATAGTGGTCCCAGGACCACCATGGCTCCACAGGTCCCACTACACTACTTCCTGAGCAGTTTGGAATCTCCGTTGGCTGACATAGTTCTAGGAAATGCTGCCATCTTGGATCATGAGGATCACAGACCGTTAAGGATGGAGGAACCTGATAACCAAGGATCAGGTTTAGTCTGGACCTTCTCTCCCTCTTTCCTTTCTGCCACAGCTGGGGCTGAGCTTCCAAATTATTCCACAAGGATCCAGACTGGCCCATGAAGATCATTTCCCTTGCTTTAGAGGGCTCTATCTATGTTCGTTCCCAACTCTTAACCCTGTCTTTGACCTTGCAAAAGATTCCTATTCCATAACCCTAATCCAACACCCCTCCAGAGTCTTGTGAGTTGGGGGAGTTTGTAGGGCCTGTTAGGCATCTGTTTCTGAGACACGATTAAGCATCCATGGCGGGCAGCAAGGGTGGAGCAGAAACACAGATACGTTTTTTAAAAATGTTGCAATGAAAGAAAAGCTTTCTTTTTCAGAGGACGAGAAGGTGAGAGAAGCACTGAGCTCTTGGGGAGGACTCCGAAGACTTCATGGAAATCTCAGAGGACAGAGAGGTGACAAGAAGAAGGGTTGGTCTCCTTCTGTCACAGCTTTCTTCCCTTAGATGTTTTTGCTTAATCTCACGGTCCAGGTCAGCAGCCGCCCCCAGAGCTGTGGCCACAGCCAGAGCCCCCACACTGCCGGCCGCTGGCACCATCACACGAGTCCGAGCTCCGCAGCCTGCACCTGTGCGACCTGCGGCGCCTGTGCGGGCTCAGGCAGCAGCCGCCCCCGGAGCTGGAGCTGAGGCCCCCGCAGCCCGCAGAGCTGGGCGCACAGCAGGAGGAGGCAGCAGGCAGACACTGTG